CCGTTAGATCTTAGGATAGCCAATATTTTTCCTAAGTATTGTTAAAAAGTTTAATTAGTAATACGCTTGATGAAGTTAATTATTAACTGTATCCAAATAAAGCTAATATCATTTATATGAAGCGCTTTAAATAATAGCTACCATAGAATATTCTCTGCAGTGCCATTCTAAGAAGTTCATAGGTATATGCATATCCATAACCTTTTATATAGGTCAGTCACATAGTTTAACTAAACAATACTGAGTTTATGTTAAGGTTATCACACAGTTATACAATGATTTCATTAAGTCACACGCTTACCGATGCGAAGAGAAAATGAAGACTAAGCGACAGATTGTTATAAACAGAACAGTATTAACTCGTTCATTAAATGGTGTACATAGAGTGGTATTAGGTCATATTTGTATCATGTCAAATCATGTAACCTATAACCTGTCATTACAGGACGTTTCGTTTTTTTATTTACAACAAGGTATTAGAAATAATAGGAATAAACCTAACTTATGTTAAGTGCACCGATTTTGTTCATTTCTACGCGTCTAGGATATGCAACATATACAGCACAATGCTTCCTTTTTTAATTCCGTAACACATACTTTACTCTCGCTCCCTTGTCAATGATAACTATGTTCCATAAGTTTGTAATTTTAAAAATTAATTATCAAAACTTCAGAATGCAGTACATCATATTTTAGTGACTATTATTAAGGATTAATATTCGTTATTTTCCATGAGAAAATAATGGCTTGTTTTTATGACTTTGCCTATGATTGGCTATCCTCAATAGCTACCATGCCATATTGTTTATTTATATTCTTATTGATTGTTCCACTGACCTTATTTATATTTGACCTTTTGGTTACATGGCTTTCTCCTCATTGGCTGATAAATAGAGTGTGTGTCTATCATTCTATTGATTTTAGACTGACCTAAATATTAAGTTTCTAAAAAATTGTCTGCTATTCGCAGCTATCATGAATGCGGAGAATAATGAGTCAGCTGAAAAAATTTCGTCTCGTAGACACCCTTAAAATAATAATTTATGTGTTAACAAACAAAATTAATAGCATTAGAATTGCTATGCTAAAATAAAATCAACATGAGTTTTACTACAGAAGAGTTTAAAGTTGAAATAAAAGACATAAGAAGGGGAATGATTTTATTGGGCGTAAACCTCCAAAAGCACTTTCAAAAGAATGAAAATGTGAATTGAAAATGATAATGACGACGATGTGAAGCAAAACCTGATTTCCTGGAACATAACTGGAACCAAGATAAGGGAAGGAGTTTTAGAAATTGGTTTTGAATATAGGGTTTATTTTATCTACACATAATTTGTGTGGCTGCTATAAATAATTGATGAAAACACTGAATATTCTAGTGTTTACAGTGTTTCGGCGTGTTAGCTTTGTTAACTATTTAAGAAGACCAATCATGAGGAGGTAAAACAACTGGGTTCATACGACACCCTCAAATAAACGATTTTGATGTATTACATTTACTTTTTGCTAAGCAAACTGGATAATTTTTTGCAAACCATTTCATGGCAAAGGACTGACTTAGTTCATTTTAATCAGATCCACAGGAAGGTGTGTAATGACAGGTATGCAGAGGTAGACAAAAGTTATATTCCGCGTATTATATAACCATATTCCGACTTGGTTATACTAGGGTTAAGTTAGTGACGTAGAAAGTGCTTGGGACTAATTAAGATAAAGACTTTATTGCATTTTGGCTTTTTTATCTTCTTGCATTTCCAGATTCAAAATTAGTGTCTTCTGTGATACAGTAATTTGGTAAGGATTGATTTATTTCTTTTGATTCTTATCAGTTTACTTTAGAGACTATTCATCATTGCAAACTTTCTTCTGCCCACTCTTTGAGTATTTTTCTAATTAAATTGGTGCCCTTAGTTATTCACTTGCATCAGTATGAAGAGTGATACAGCATTCTTCTTAAACACTAGTTTATGGATGGCGTGACGAAGGAAATATCCACCTAGAGCATTTCGGCCTTTCTCATAGACGGTGAAACAAATCCAATAAATATTGTCAGCTGCGTCATCGGAGCATCTTTTGGTCTACACAGTATACAGTAAAGAGACTGTATTAGTTTTTGTATAAAACTTATATAACAGATTTCACCAGACACCCATAATTTCATGATTTTAACATATTCTCACGGTTTTCTTGCTCTCCGAACTTGAATTTCTACATACAAACTTTTTGATATAAGTCTAAGCATCATTTTGGTGCAATTCACTAAAAAATCAAACGTCGTATATAAATCATTAGTGATTGTATAGGTTATTATTCATGACCCGGATGAAAAAAGTTGATTTATTGTCATTCTTTCCTTCACTGTTTCGGGTCTTTCTATTCATTTTTTCGAGTAGAACATGATGCTTCAGGCTTTCGAAGTTGTACTAACGTTTGTGTTCTTCTTATGAGGTGCGATTTCTATCCAAATACCTAACCTTCCTTCTTTCCTGGTTTTGTTATTGGCTAGTGAACTAGGCGGCATTCAAAAGTGTGTGTGTGTGTGTGTGATGGGAATCAAACCTGAACTTCCCGTGTAGCTGATAAGTATTCTACTATAGATGCATTGGCGTACTCGCCGATTTGTAATCCTTGTATTTGTCTTAATTTGGGATTGTTGGTCTATAAACTTGCGATTTTATATTGGTTTGTCTGCTGTCGTTTATATCGTAATTCAGAATGTGTCTTCATTTGTTTATTGCTGAATTGTCGCTGGTATACTTCAGCATTTGATCTTGGTCAGGTAACTTTTCGTATACTCCATTTCCTTACTTGTATACACCTGTTCTGTTGACCAGTATAAGTGGAAGTGAAGTTGCACTAACTAAATTTGATGTTATCGAAAGTAGTACTAACTAGGCTCACATTTTCTCACTTATCCCTTTGAATAAAAGAGAATGCTTCATTGCTACAATGTACCAAAAATTTCATATGGATCAATTTTGGAATTATTGATTCTAGTCTTCAATTTAAAATTGCATCAATCATTTCCTACTCAAACCATTCTATCAGTTATTGCTCATTGTAGTTAAGATAGTTATGGTTTATTGATGACCTGATTTGCATCAATTTCTAAACGACTCCTTCATTTGAAAGTGTAACATCAAAAGAAAAATCTTTTTTCTCAAGATATTTATCACTTTTATATCATATAAAATGTTTGAACTAAAGAGTGAATAAGAAGATCGTTTGTATTTAAATTGTGTACAGTTCTTGTTAAAAAAATCATCAGCATCTTATTTATGGACAATCGCAAATAAATATTTAATTGGTGGATGGTGACTGGCAGTGGAATCCAGGATGCGCGTTTCGTCCTATTTGGGACTCATCATCTAGATGTACAGAAGAATCTCAGATTCAATTAAATTAATATAACCCGTTGCACAAGAGGTGGCTGTTGTGGCCCAAGTGGTCTAGTAGATAAAGCTTTGGCGTTTGAAACTATGGGCACTGGGTTTGAGCCTCGGTGGGAACATCATCACTCACTGACAAATGCAGGTACATCCAGTTGACGAGTCCTAAATAGGACGAAATTCGCATCCTGGATTCCACTGCTAGTCGCCATCGTCGAAGCATCTGCACAAGAAGCGGACATGTCAACCTGAGACCGAGCACTTCGGTCCAATCAATCAACGGGAAAATCTCAAATTTAATTAAATCGCAAATGAAATTTGGTGTAATATTCTTAAGAGTATTCCATAGAGCTCTTGGTTAGCTTCAAGTGAATAAACACAGAATTATTCTGTGTTTATCGAGAGCAGTCAAAAATAAGAAGTTCAGGCAATAAAAAATCTTTTCATCCACGTTATCAGTTACAAATCCTAAATGTTATTTTAAATAAACTCTGAAATTTAGATAATTACATAGAGTAGCTACAAAACAAACATCAGCATAATATTCATAGATATATTCATTAGTATTTAACCTCGAGATGGATATCTTAAAGTTTTATAAAGACGTATTTTTGGTGGAGTTGACGAAGTAAACTTTAAAGACATTTATTTAGCGATGACATTAGTTAGCCGTGGCATTATGTACAGAATTTACGAAATTCTTAACTGCTAAGCCGCTGCTCATCTCTCTGTTTAAAATTCTTGTTCCTACTTCTGGTATGGCTTGATGGTCTACGAGTTAGCTCGCCTTGTAACAAGAAGGTCCTGGGTGCGAAGGCCGGTGGGTGCGCACTGTGAAGAGTCCAAAACTCGGACGAAACAGCTATCCAGTACTCCCAGATTTTCCAATGGTTCTCTAACTGATGTCAGCTCATGATTAAACCCTTCAACAAATTCGGAAAAGTGTTGAACAAAGACGACAGTTACATGCCTCCTCAAACTCAACGTATTCATATCGCTTATGAAAGTGGACCATAATTAGACTTTCAAATGCCCCAAAACTTTAGGTATAACAGAACAAGATGATATACTTTTAAAAAAAACTCAAAATGCTAAATGCATCCGTAAAAACTATGAAAATTATGACCTTTTTTCTATTAGTGTCTACTTATATTATTACACCTGAAGTGAAACTGAAACAGACTTACAAAGAATACTTGCGGTTAGGTGAAAAGTATGATAAAAAGTTATTGAAATAAATTACTATTGTCTAAATTCCATTGAAAAAATATGGCAAACGTCTTGAATTACTAATCGGCACGTTTTATTCTGCGCCTCAAGTATATTCATGAAATCTTATGCATATTTGTTTCAAAATCGCTAGTCAATAAATAGTGATCATATTTTTTGTTAATGCAAGAGCCTACTGACCTTTAAATTTTAAACCGAATCGACACACATGAGAATGTAATCATCTGTTGCCCATTGTAGTTCTTTCACCGATGAATTACTTTTGTAGATGTAATGACTAAACATACATGTGAACAAAAATCAGTCTTAATAATGTGAAACGGATTATTACTATTTAACAGGCATCTGAATATTTTAAGCTTTTACATAAATGCTTACCTCTTGCCTATCAATTACATTTGGATTATTATAATCGAACAACGATGGTTCATACTCGTCAGTATTCACAATGAATCCATTATCAAAGTATGGTATGAAGACGTCATTTTCATTGGGTATTCCTCTCTGCAAATAAAGTTAATTACACATGAAAGAGATTACTCTAAATTATTCAGTACATGCATAAGAAATTTACACCTATTCTTGTCAAGAAACACCATTCGAAGATGTATCCTAGATGCCTTCTTGCTATTCAGGTTTAGAAGTGGGATTTACTAGATAAAAAATTGAACCTTTGCATTCAAGTGGGGTTATGAGTTCCTCCCTATTTTTCTGCAGTTAACTGTCTCCACCGTACTAGAATAAAAAGGTTTGCACTGTTATCTTGCAAGCTGAAAGCTACATAGGTTACAGAAAAATAACTGAGTTATATACCTTTTCAAAAAGATCTAAAACTCTGTATTTTCCCCCATGGACCCTGAAAGTGAACGCATAGACTACAACAGGTATGCTTACGCCACTATTGTGGAAGTTTAGAAGCAAGAAAAGGTAGCTACTGATTAGAAGAGGCGTTACCTTGCCAAATTTCCAAGAAGGCTGATTTAATCCTATGCAAAAACTGTCGCGAAATCATGTTCCTGTCCGACCCAAGAAAAATTTTAAGCTGTATCATCTTGAAGAGGTTAAAAGGTAATATGAACGCAAAAGTACGCTTGGAACAGGCTGGATTCGGGAAAATAAAATCGTATGCAGACCAAATTGCAAAGCTACGCGTTATCATCAAACACAACATAGGATGACAAACAACGCTCAATTTCACCAACTTTGCACAAGTCTCCGACAGCTTTGACTGCAAGGCAACTTGATAACAGCTTCAACACTTCGGAGTGCCCCAGACCTTTATCAGTCTCATTCAAGAACTATATGACGACACTAAATGCCGAGTCTTTCACAATGGAAAGCTCAATGGAAACTTTGAAGTGAATACAGATAAGATAACAATAGCCTTATTCCAAAACAGTACTTGTGATACAGAATGGAATTCTCAGCATTTTACTACAATATTGTATCCATTTAGTACATAAACAATAAATCAAGTTCTACATAGATTAAGGTTATCTCAGTTAGTCATGACAACAACATATTAGCATATCGGTAGCAAAGCCAAAATTAAACAGAGTGTTAGAAGGTGTTGGAAAAGTAGGTTCTAACATATTTACTGGTGTAAACAGAAAGAATGAAACAAAGCTGCACATAACAGAGGAAAAAGAGAAAAGGAAAAGAAAGAAAGAAAAACGTTGTACCTATAAATGATATGAGTTGGAAAGACGAGATCCAGTTGTTCTACTGACTATTTAATAAGTTAAAGTTTCCACGCCTAACGCTTTCTTTATCACACAGAACACGAGCTAAGTAGGGTATGGATGAGTTTTTGTACGGGCATATAGTTTCCTATATAGGCTTCTGGTTTTCCCTGAAGAGATACATGGGGAGAGTTGTGAATGAAGAGGGTGTTGTGAGTCAGATAAAATGGATTTAGCCCATTTTTCACATGAGTCCATGTGCCTGTCCACCAGAATGTTAACAAGCTGGCTAAGTGACACACTGCTTACCCTGCTGACAACCTTTAACATCCTGCGTAATAAGGTATAGTCTTTCTTCAGTAGCCCCGGAGAAACTAAGGGGGAACAATAGAGAATAATAGGCAGAATACAGGAGTTAAAAAATTGTAGGAGTAAGGGTTGGGCTACACCAGAATGTCTTAACTTCTTGATGTAGAAGGCATGACGGAATATTTTCTTAGAAATCGTCAAAAAATGAGACGACCAGGAAAGATCAGAAGATAGAGTGACGCCTAGGTATTTAATTTCCGACTTGGTTTCAATTTCAGTGCCATCTATGTTGCACACCTCGTGAGTGCTAACCAGTTTGTTTAGGTCAGATTTGTACCTAAAGGTGAAATTAACTGTTTGGCATTTGGAGGGGTTTAAGGTGAGACCGTTTTCCCTGGACCACTGGCTGATTTCTGATAAAAAGCCGTTTAGTTTAGAGAAGTCACTTTGACATTTGACAGGCAAAGACACAGTTAGGTCATCAGCATATTTGACAAAATTAATGTCATTTGAAGATGGTAGGTCATGTAGAAAGAAAGAAAAGAGAAGTGGGGAGAGTACAGCACCTTGGGGGACACCAGCTTCAGTGAGCACGGCAGAGGAGGATTTGCCTATGTATACGGTGTGCTGCATTCTGTTTGAAAAGTAGGAATGCAACCAGTTAGTGACCCAGGACTCAGTTTGTGTCATGGAGAGCTTATTTAGCAAGAGACATCTAGGTACAGAGTCAAAAGCAGAAGTGAAGTCAAGAAACGTGCAGCGGACATATTTGGCACCTTTGTCTAATGATGAGACGATACTGTTGTGTAAGATGGCTGTAGCGTCTAAAGTAAGGAGTAAGACAACGTTACCTACTATTACCGATGGTATTTCTGGTTGTAGTGGATTGGTTCATACAACGTAGCATGGATAGCAAAAGGACAGACATAGGCTGGAAGGACAAGAAGGCTATCGTAGATCCGGAAATCGCGGGTGACTTATGTTTCATAACGCACAAACTCAAATATCTACACATGAAAACAAACAAGTCTTATAGGAGAGGTAGCGAAGGAAAGGCTTCAAGTGGACACTAGTGAGGCAGTTGGGATAAAGTTACCCAACCAACAACAACTACAAGTACCAATCCACACCATCAGGAGAAATCCGAAAAGTTTAGCTCTTTCATTTACCTGGACAGAGTAGTTTAAACTATAGGAGACAAGGGTGTGGATGTCAAGCTTCTCGCAATCCGCCTGAGAAATCAGGATAGGCCTCCATTACCCTGCAATCAGTCTGTAGATCCACAAAATTTAGAAACAGAACATAGATCCAAATTCTCAATATTGATGTCAAGTCAGTGAACGCTTCTATATTGTTCAGAAACTTGGTGCTCCACCTAAAGCATTTCCAACAGGCCTTAGTTTTTTTATCAACAACCGTTTTCGCTCCATACTAAGATCAGATGATCAGACAAGATTAGCAACAAGAAACTTTGGTAACGAACTAACCAAGAACCTACTACCTAACTAACTCGTGCAAATTAATCATATGGCCGCTAGTAGCTGGCTACAGGATAAAGTTTTCTGGAGATTTTGTGAGTAGTCGTGACCATTGGGGTCCATCCCATCGGGAGTGAAGACAAATACTCACCGATGACATCGATTGGTGGTTGCGCTAAAATCACAAATTGGTGGGATTTATAGTTCATGGGCCATTATCCTGGGTCCAGGTGGCTGAGTGACCTACGACGTTACCTTGGGTCCGAACCCCAGTAGGTGCGTTCTGATTAAGAGTTCCGGACTAGGACGAAACAGCTGGCAGCTACTCCTTGGTGCTCAATGGGCCCTCAACTAATATCAGTCCGTGGTCAAGCTTGAAATAAATTAAATCGCTGCAAACTAACTTTTGAATATATATATAAAGAAAATGGACATACACTGAGTAGACATTCAAGTGACATTATATCCAAGGACCTCAAGTAAAATTTGGATGAGAAACAGCCGCTTAGCTAAACAGCATCAAAGCAGTATTATATTTTCACTTAGATAAATAAAACACACTGGAAGAACCAGTCTCGCCTTTCTGAAAAAACACGCCAGTTATAGCACATTTTCTACAGTCATACAATTTGAATACTTTGAAGAGGTAATTCAGTAGTTTATTACGTTATTCTTCTGAATTGTAGAAGTGAAATTATTTGAAAGCCATTTCTAATAATAAAACATTGTTTTAAACAAACTGATAGTATTACGTCATACGGTGATGACTGATGCGAACAGCTGTGAAATAATCACACCGAACAGTTATGCTTGCTATCCAGGACACAGTTATCTAAATATCGGACTGCAATTTCACTCAATTGTAGTCAATCTTATTAACGTAAAAGGTTAAATCCTTTGCATTATCATTTCGTACGGCTAAATAGCCAGATTTCGGGGGAATAGCGGTTAGGACGCTCGCCGACTATGCACATGGTCCGGGGTTCGATTCTTGGCCACAGACGCACTCCTTTAACTCACTAAACCAGTAGTATGACTGGTGCAGAGGAAAGGTTGGGCATGAGGCTAGCAGCCCCATCCCGTGAAAATAAACACCACTGCTAAAGAAACTTCAAGCCACTACCTTGAAGCCCTGTGTTTCACTGGGGAACGTCAAGGAAAAAAAATAGCCAGAATTCGAGTGGTTTGAACTGATTAGACTATCTGATTTGAGTCTATCCGAGGACAGAATTTTTCTATTAACCGATATCTTAATAGAACAGGTTATGCTTAAAATATACCGAGTCTAAACAGTTTTGTCTAAGCGTTCTTGTATATCCTAGTATGATACACTGAATCAGACGAAGACGGCTTTTATTTCAGTAAGGCTTATTTTGTGGCTCACTGTCAGTGTATTGGTTTCTCTGTTTACATTTTAACAAATTCTGTTAGAGAAAAAAAATCATAAAAACTACCTTGATTCACACGATATAAGTTTAGTCTAATTAGCGTTATCTCACTTTATTCTCTGCACCAATGAATTGGGAGAAAATAATTATGTAGTGAAAATCAAACATACAGGTAATAAAGCAATCTGAGTTTAAAAATTAGAGCTTAAACTGACAATTGTCAATTATGCCTAACTACCTAGGTGTATTCCAAGCTTCTCCAAGGTTACGCCATAACTTTTCGTATTCTTGCGTTAAATTCGACTGAATGAAAAGAATTGCATGGAATGGGAATCTTGGTTGAGTAATTGACCGAGCAATATTTGACTTCTTTGTCTTTGGATATCGAGTAGCATCAACTGCATATCTGAAACCGAAAATGAAAATATAAACGCCAACGTTTAAAGCTGCAAATTAAATTTATTTTCATTAACAGAAGTTACCTAAGGTAAAAGTGGTATTACGCTTTCAAAATATAAGTATTGGTGTTGGAACAGATACTCAACCAAGTGAAATAATCCATTTCCAACAACGTTTCGACACAGTAAGCATCATCACCTTTCAGTGGTATTTATGTCATTAATAACTGTAATTCGTTTCTTGGATGTGTTAGTGAGAATAATTTACTCTAACATATACCTAAAATTTCCCTATGTCTAAGAAAACAAGTAATTTTTCATCGTTAATTTATCATTACTTATTATATTATTGTCTCCTTTAGTTCCTAGAGGAACATACGACTTCAGACACACATCTCAATTGCGTTCGGTTCTCTGCTAGAGTTTTCACCTGGCTCCACGTATACCCACATCCTCCCATCACCTCTTCACATCACCTCCTCCACCTCCACGTCACCTTCACATTGACGACCAACTCGCAGAGTATGACCAATCCACCTAACTCCATTTCTTCCTGCATATTTGTTGCAGGATTGGTTTGTGCTGAGTTGGATCGTTCATTTCCAGAGATCCCTGTTGATGATCTTCTCTGACCGGCCATCTGATCTTGAGTGGTATTGAGAGAAGACAGTTATCTGTTGGCGAAGGTCTACAGTTTTTTCTTGTTTTTCATGGAGAGTAGTGCTGTTGATCTCCAAACGGACTTGAGAGTAATGAAAGTCTCCTTTGACTTTTAGATCGTCTCTTTGATATCTTCATCAGTTCTGTCCGGCTGTAGTTGAAACGATATTTCTTTCAGAATCCTCCCATTTACGCCGATTGTTGTCTTTTCTTGTTGCTGTTGGCCAGGAATCTCCATCATGTCTGTTTTCACCATGTTCACCTGATTTCCTATCTTTGATGCTTCTTCTGCCAGTGGGATTTGTATAATTAATTTAATAAGTGTTAACTTAAATGTTTTGTTCACTTAATCATTGTCATTTTAAAATTTATTTGAAAACGAAAGTCTACTTATTCAATTTAGATAGTAGTATTCGAATATAACGTAATTTTTTTAATCATCAGGTACGAAGTATAACCACGATTTTCATTTATATTATTTTATACCTAGGTAGTTTTTTAAGCAGGAAAATATTTATTTTCCACTAGAGAACAACGAAGCATATCTCAGCAAGTGATGTATAGAAAAAAAGCATGCAAATAAACATCAAATATATGAGAACTTTAGACGGAATCATACTCATTTAAATGAAGGTGCTAACACACAGTAAGAAGAGGGTTTCCGTACTTTGAAATTAGATTGAATGACTATAAATACTGTGTGTAGTAGGCTTCAAGTCGGAAGGGAAAGTGAGTTCCTTCAATGCAGAGAGTTCAACCTGCTGATAATTGACAAAAAGCCCAAAGTTTTTGTTTAACACGCTTTTCTGCTACATAGGTCCAAATCTAGAAATAAATATCATCTCAAAATTATCATTCTGACGATTGATGACAGAAACTCCAATAAAAAAACGACCAGCAGTGTTTCTAACTTAGTTTTATTATGATCATGTTTCAAAAGCTAGCTGGAAAAAAAGTATGCTGATTTTTCCAATTTTTTTTGTCAAATTATTAATTCAGTTTATTAAAATCTGAGAGATTTATTTACTTCTTTGTTTATATTCTTTACCACTTTAGAATTTTCAAATAAGCCAAATATTATCGTGATGACTTACTTTAAAAGGGCGAACAATTGTCTTACTAGGACAGAAGAGTTTGGATCCACAACATAGCCTTCAAGTCTTGCTAAGAGAATGGCTGCAAACTTTACTTTTTGATAGAAATCAACTGCAGATGTCTTCAGTTGTTCATCAAGATCTATAGGCAGGGATGCTGTATTGTGAAGAAGAAAACAATATTACTTTTTAAAAAAATAAGAAATGAAAACCTCAAAATGAATAAGTTACAAAATAAACTTATTTATTTAGTTAATTTGTCTAATTTGTTACTTTACTTATCACCACAAGACATGAACAAAATTTTATCACTTCTAAGCGAAGAAGGGAGGAGGATGAAACCAAATATATAATTTCAATTAAAAACAGAAATCAAGTGATTCTTTTGACTTACACAGTTAAATAGGTGTAGTGAATTATTCACATTTTACTTGACTGTTGATAGTTTTTCTGCTTAGATTAAGTCAGATAGCCTACCATGCAATTATAGATTTAATGGTCTGTTCTATGTCACAATTAGATGTGTTCACACCGTAAAATACTGTTAACTACCTATCTCGAATTGTTTGGCTATTTTAGTAATAAGTGCCTTACAGATTTTGTTTTTATTATTCACTTATTTATCGATGCCTTCAGAAATAATATTCATACTTAAAGACTTACTGTGTTCCGTTAAGTCTTGTATAAGGCCTAGGAACTGTGGTGACTATATTTAGGTGACAACTACGATGAAAGTTATTTATATTCTTATTTATTATTATTGTTAATTATTATTATTGTTCTCTTGGGTTCCTAGTAGAACATAAGGCTTCAACTGCACATCTCCACTTGCTTCTGTCCTCTGCTGTTCTTTCCACCTGCATCCATGTTAGTCCATACTGTTTCAACTCCTCTTCACACGATCTCCTCCATGTCACCCTTGCACCGACAACCCACTCGCCACTTCCCTTTCGGGGTCCACTCGAGCTATGGTCTGAAGCGAGCGCGATGTCATCAACAGCCTCCTCAGAGAGTGTCCAATCCATCTCCACTTTCTCCTGCATATTTGTTGGGCGATTGGTTTGTCCTTCTTTTGTTTGTTCCCATAGTTTCATCTGATCTTCAGTATAGAGCGAAGACAGTTGTTGATGAAAGTAGCATCTGCAACAGGCTGTTGGAAATATTCTTTGTGACCCGCCCGCCAAGTTTCTGATCCGTTCCGTATAGAAGAGCTGAATGACTTGACGTTTGTATTGAAAATCCGACCGAATATTGTTGCTGATGCTGAGTGACGAAGATTTCCAGATTCGTCTCAGGTTGATGAGTGTGTTTCTCGCCTTCCCGATTCTCGACTTAACATACTTGTCCATTCCTCCTGTAGTTGAGACAGTGCTCCCTGGATAAGTGAATGAAGTAACCTCTTTCAAATCCCTCCGTTGATGGTGGTTGACGCTGGATGTTGATGTTGTTGCTGTTTTTGTTGTTGTTGTAGTTGTTGGTTATTTTCATAACCTCCGTCTTGTCTCTGTTCACCTGGAGTCCTGTCTTCGCCGGCTGCTTCTTCGACCAGTTTGTCGGTTTTCGCTAGCTTGTAAGTCTTCGATTTTGTGACAGTGACATCAAACATAAATCATCCACGCGCGAAATCCAGTTCCTCTAGGTTCTTCACGTCGGTCAAGGATATTCCTGTCTTCTCGTTTCCCACTGTCTGACGCATAATGCAGTCAGTCCACCACAATTAGGAATATCATTGGTGATAATAAGCACCCTTGTCTGACTCCTGTGTTTACTCCAAACGCCTCGCTGAGTTTTCCGTTGTGGATCACTTGGAATGTGCCGTTGTCGTACAGCTGTTGAATAAGGTTGATGAATATTTGGGCACCATACGCCATAGTACTCGAGTAGTTTCCAAATTACTTCACGGTCAACGCTGTAAAAGGCCTTCTCGAAATCTATAAATTTGGGGTAGAGGTTTGATTGCCATTCCATGCTTTGTTCTGTGATGATGATGCGTAGAGTTGCAATTTGGTCAGAACATGATTTACCTGACTTTCCTGAATCCAGCTTGTTCTGGTCGGATTTCTGTATTCAGTGCATCCTTATTTAAATTTGTTAAGTTATACACAGCGAATAGTCAGTGATCAACAGTTTATCAATGCTATCAGTGGAAGCAAGGTTTTATAAATAACTTAGGACGCTAAAGAGACATTCCAACCCTTATGGCTCAGAGTGTATTTTATATTGCATAACTCATTCACATTCTGCTAGTTGGAAAAATCCGCAGGAATCGATTTTGTCTTGCGAAATATGGTTACGCTACTTAAGGTTTAAAGTACAAAGAGGAAAATAGAAGGGACATATGGCATCATTCAAGGTTGATTGACCAAATATCGAAGAAAGGCTTCAGCTAAAATAACCAAGAGGTAACTCGTATGAAATCGATTTCAAGACCAGTAGGTTATGAGGGAAACAGATTTTTTTCTTCACATTCCCCAGTGGAACAAAGGGCTTCAAGCTAGTGGCTTGAAGTTTCTGTAGCAGTGTTTATTTTTACCAGATGGGGTTGCTAACCCCATGCCCAACCTTTCCTCTTTACCAGCATTATTTCTGGCTTAGCGAGGTAAAGGAGTGCGCCGGCCGGGGACTGAATCCCGGACCATGTGCATAGTAGGCGAGCGTCCTAACCGCTATACCATCGACGCACATTCACACAGTGATACACCCACTGACTGGGTATTGGTTTTCAGGAGAACCAAACACACCCATCCCTGCCTCTTGTGAGACGAAACCGGTATGCAGGATCATCCTGTGGCACAACCACTCGACAGCCCTCTCTCTCGGTGGACCAATGAGGTAAACAGATGGATACAAAGTGAAACATTCACTTCATGGCCTTGTGATACTAAGTTGTATGTGCCATGGGATGATGCTAATGCACTGTCGAAGAGACATACCTATGGCAAAACTATGTTCATTAATCCCTGGGTTTTAAGGTGTGCCGTTTAAGTTGTAACGCTTAGAAGAAGTAAATAAGCTATTCATTCGTGAGAAAGAATTAGGTATGCCTTTCATATTTCATATGAAAAATGAAATTTAGTAGATTTTTACTCACGATAAATAAAATAATCATGAACTTAAGAATCTTTCAGCAATCTGGTTTATGAAGGGATTTTACTTATTTTTAAATGTTTTATAAGGTTAACTCTTTTGAGTTTTTATTTAATGAGATGAAAATACCTACCTGTCGACTGATCTGTAGATACAGTTGAAATTCGAGATTTGGACCGGCTTGATGTAGCAATTGAAGGTTTTGAATTAGCAAACTGTTTACTTGTTCGGCTTTTAATAACTTTTAGATCCTTTTCAATATCATCAAAACAGTAATTTAACAATGAAACCTCCCGATCGATCCATTCACGATCTGTTTCAACAGAAAAAAACGAGGAGAAAGAGGAAAGTAGTTGTTACTGTTCATACTGCTATTCAAACAAAAAGCTGTGAATCTATTGGTTTTTCATGCATATAGGAAATCATATATGGAAACCGAAAGTAGCCTCTTTAAACAATACAATTACCTATTGTTTCTTAAGATTAAACTACATCCAATATTTTTTTCAAAGGAAGTTACCAACTGCTAACAGCAAGTGTAAAGTAATCAGTGGCCATTGGTAAGAAGATATTTCGGCAGACGTTAATCAACCAAACATGAGAATTCTGTGATCAGGATGCTTCATTATGAAAACTGAAATATTAATTAATTTATTTATTTATTTTACTTTATTCCAAAAACAGTACTTATAATACACAATGGATTTCTCAGCATTTGTCACAATATTGCATCTGATTTACTTAAAATATAAATTAAAAATTAAAACAAAAGTAACCAAAGGAATTCGTCCACGCTTACGATATAGAGTCAAAAATATTCTAAGCACGAATTGAGATCATTAAATATTAATAATAATAATAATAATAATAATAGTAATAGTAGGAATCATAATAATAATAATAGTGAGTTTGTTTCAAACAGTATTGTCGATTCAGTTTGAAAATTTTAGCATGTTACTATAGAGTATTAAATCTAATGTTCTGTTGTTATAGTATAGTGGGGGGATTTACAAGATTAACAGTGGTAACACAGCTTAAACGATGTTCACACTTATGAAAAATATATAAAGACAAAAAATTGAAAGGATTATAAATATAAGAGGAACAATAACAATAAAGTTTGGTACTGTAAGGGTGGAAGAAATGGTTTATTTAGTAGTGCAAAGAGGGTTAGTTAGTTCATGCCAGACACCACTTTCATCACATAAAGTACGTGCTAAATATGGTATGGTGGAATTTTTATACTTAAATGTACGTGCGTAAATTGTTCTAAAAAGACTTCTTGTTTTACCTGAGGAGACACAAGGTTGGAGCTGCGGGTAGAGTGGATGCTCAGAGTCTGACAAAATTCCTTTAGCAAATTTGTTGCATGACATCAAGTGCCTTTCAGTGACAATGTCAACAATATGGCCCAATGGGATACCACTCGTCCTACTGACAGTCTTCAGAGTTCTACGAAGTATGACCTTTAAATGGACCGCGAATGAAATATTTACTTCGATAAGTTCGTATTTACACAAAATTAAAAGTAGAAATCAATATTGAAAAGTGAACTGAATCTAAGTCAGTAAGTTAATAGGTTTTAATTAATACACTCAATATGCAGAAGAAAAATATGTACAGATGTGCTTATTTGTGCTGGCTACTGAAACAATATCTTTATCAATATTATCAATGATATAAATGTGCATTGTATTAAGGTTATTTTCTGTTAATTAGTCTACTTTTCAGAAAATAACAATATTTTGTGATTCAGCATCTCCAAAATGTCTTTTCGAAAGTTTCATTCTACAGCTTAGAAATTCAACTAAGGATTTAAATTGAAATATTTCTTGTGTTTTTAAAGGATATGGCTGACACAATTGTAATATGTGAAGAAATTATTACAAAAACTTGTAAGGCAAAGACAGTACAATGGCATGGTATTGAAATGAAGGTGAAAGTTCTCTCATTTGATGTACACTCATGTTAATAATAGAGGGAACGTCCAGATCACGTAGTCTGTTTTTGGGCACTTAAATTGCATTGCACATCAGTTTAGTTTCGGCAGATTTACTCCTTTTTCAAACACCTTCTAGGGTAACTTATACCAACAATCAAAGATTTCATTGATTTGTTATCTTGGACTACAACGTTTTTGCTATTCGTATGTAATCTCAACATGATGGTAGATATTAGAGTAAATATGTACAGCAAATGAGACATGTGTGGTAGTTATTCTGCTTTATCTACTCTACTGTCTTACCTAGATTACTCACTGTATTATTCCATAATATGAAGGCAGTTTTATTAAAACACCTGTGGTAAACATCTCTGTATCCATATGCATCCTTAATGTTCCGATATGACAGCAGCATTTTAGTAATAATAAGAACTGTCATAGATCGAATCCGATCGTTATTAGGAGCTAGGCTCGTTTTGTCATCGCAATTATCACTTCTGGAATTTTAATTGGGGTTAGTCTATAAGAAAGGATGAAAAGGGACGGCGTATTTCTTAAGCATCTGTGTCTGATAAAGACAAAAACATTTCTCTCAGACATTAAGGTTAAAGGAGTTCGGAGGAGAGGACATTAACACTCATTATCAGTTAGATGATATAGAAAACTGTCGCAGCCCTAATAAGCTTAAGTAGATAGCATTGATGAGTATTCATTTACTGTATCAGTTAGAAACAACTAGTTAACTTGCGTAAAAATTGTGAGTGAGAAAAATATAGCGCGATAAATGAGAAAAAAAGCACGTCTCAACTCAACGGTACGTTAAAAAATGAAGATTTCATCAAAAAATCCTTTTTATAATCAGATTCCTGCATGAGTTTTGTTTGTTTACACAGAACTCCATTAGTAAATAGTTGCTTTAAAACAGTTATATTTTTGTTTCAGTTTCAAGAGATATTAACTAATGAAACTCTCATTCTACTAAATACGATGTTTACTGAAGCAAACGTTAGTCAACATGTATCCAGCTAACTTTACCTCAGGTTATATTTATCGACTGAACTGTATTCACCAATACACGTACAATGGTGAAGAAAGAAAACATGTTGCTATAACAGTAAACATTTGGTGTGCACTCTACTTGACATAGGTAAGTTGGGTGTTTTTAAGATTATTATTATTATTGTCTCCTTTAGTTCCTAGAGGAACATACGACTTCAGACACACATCTCAATTGCGTTCGGTTCTCTGCTAGAGTTTTCACCTGGCTCAGCGTATACCCACATCCTCCCATCACCTCTTCACATCACCTCCTCCACCTCCACGTCACCCTCACATTGACGACCAACTCGCCGCCTCCCATTCAGGTTCCACTCGAGCGATGGCCTGACGTGTGATGTCACCTAATGGATTGTTTTCTCAGAGTATGACCAATCCACCTAACTCCATTTCTTCCTGCATATTTGTTGCAGGATTGGTTTGTGCTGAGTTGGATCGTTCATTTCCAGAGATCCCTGTTGATGATCTTCTCTGACCGGCCATCTGATCTTGAGTGGTATTGAGATAAGACAGTTATCTGTTGGCGAAGGTCTGTAGTTTGCTCGAAGTGGCTTTCGTGACGCGGACGCGGCGCAAGTCTCTGATCCGTATAGTAGGTAGTATTGATTTCCCATTGGAGTTGAAAATCCTGATCTTATTTTTCATGGAGAGTAGTGCTGTTGATCTCCACACGGATTCGAGAGTAATGGAAGCTTGTCCTGCTTTCTGATTTTCATTAGCTCCGCTTGTAGGTGGGTAAAGGAGGTTGCTTCTTTCAAATTTTCAGATTATTAACAGACAGAACAAAGTTAATTTTCTTAGATTAGCATAGATGATTTCTACATGAATGACGAAGTTAAACTTATGTATTCTAAAAGAAGGCATTTGTAAAGGTTGACTAGATTTCTATTAATCCAAAAACCTTTTGTATCAGCTTTCTAACAAGTATCATCAATAATACACCACACTCGAGTTACTCATTTACAATTGTGTTTTTTGTACACATAAAAACTAATTATTTAGCATGTGTGAGTAATTGAAAAAAATTATAATTTGTAAAATATGTTACGTTTGCCTTTCTTAGCAAAATTCACGTGATGAAACAGCATGAAATATCTTCAAGGGAAGCGAAGAAAGTGATTAATCAATAAATTGGATCACAAGTCAAATCAAATGGTAATCAGAGAAATTCGGAGGATTCTGTTTAGTTCTAAGCATAACTAAACACGTAATCGTATTTTCAAGTATTGGTATTGTAGGGATTTTGTTTGATTGGATGGAGGATTTCACCATATACTAACATCAGTTAGAGAACCACTGGAAAACCTGGGAGTATTGGACAGCTGTTTCGTCCTAGTTTGGGATTCTTCATCGGTACACACCCACAAGGGTATATATTTTATATTTTAGTGTTTGTTTTTGCTGATGTTGGTGCTCATTTCCGCCTCTTCGGAAATTTAATCATAGTAGATGTACAAACAGTGACATCAGAAAGACCGTCAGCTAATCACAATTTTTTTTTGAATTTATAGGAACCTAGTTATTCAGACATGACACTAGCTACTCTGAAATAAAAAACACAGTAACTACAATACTTTTGTTTAAAACTGAGCTTATTAGTTTATTGCAAGTTACTTCTACCATAAGATTTAACGCACAGCTAACACTGATGTCTGTACTTTCTATTGTACATTATAAAAGGCATTCCGTTGTTTCATATCAAGGATACTAGTCACTCGATGATTATGTCAGTAAAGTTTCATGGAATATATGTCCAAAACAATCTGTAAACAACTGAAATTCATGTTGGAAACTTACTGTTCAAATGACTTTTAAGTAGCTTTCATTTTAAGGGTGATTTCATCACAGGTTGATATCGGTTACAAATACAGTGAATAGCTGTTTTACCCTAGTTTATGACTTTACAGGACGACTCACCTCACTAGAGTTCAAACTCAGGACCTATAGTTCACAAGATGGCGTATTACTATTTGCTCAACGAGTCAAAGGTAAACTGCTTTACGAATTCTCATTTCTGAAAGAAAAGGTTTTTAATACTTCCTGATTTTCAAAACTCTTCTACAGCTAGTGTATGTTAGTAACGATGCACACACACTTAAGTCAATAAAATTTCTAAAAGTCAACATTTTCATGTTTTTACTTTTTCATATAGTAGAACGCTATTTCTATTGTACTTTAGGCATACATAAATTTAACTCGCTTCACTCAACTTGTGTGTCATAAAATAGCTGATTTTTTTTTCATATCTGCTTATTGTTATATCGATTATATTACATAGGTGAGTATATCTTTTTGTATACAACAGGAATTCCCATTTAAACATTGAAAAGTAAGTATTTCTTAGTTAAGTCATCCTATTCTTCAATATATATATTAAATTATTTACTTTTCGCTATGAATTTTAGTGTACAGATTAATATATGAAATATGTATTGTGCACATGAATATGCTATTTCATTTTCGACTTAAATATGAACAGTTAAATCACATGATGAACTGCTATTTCTACATTGGTATAACTCTTAATGTGAATTATTGACTTTCGAATGAGACTATTTTGCTATTACAGCAAATCAAACTGGTAGAGAACAATTTCTTTGATTTTTGATAGCTTAATATTGTTTTGGCTTTGATTTAATGATTGAAGCTGGCACATACACTCTGATATTAAGTGATAACAGAATTGAAGCTTGAGTTGAAAATTTTCTTTAGCTTAATTCCGTTTAACATCTAATGCCGATTTGATGATAACAGTCAGAAAGTGTAATCAAATATATATTAGTTGCAAGATTTCATCAGGAGCTGACATTAGTTAGAGAACCACTAGAAAACCTGCCAGGGAGTACTGGACAGCTGTTTCGCCCTTGTTTGGGACTCTTCATGAGTACGCAACCACCGGGATTCGAGCCCAGGACCTTCTGGTTACAAAGCGGGCTTGTATACCATTAAGCCATTGGGACCCGATCTAATGCCCAGTGCATGAATTCTAACTTCTGCCAATTTACGATATAGCGCAACCGCTAGCCAATGTCTTCGGCGAGTATTTGTCCTCATACCAGACCTGCTGAGTAACGTTTCGTTAATTTGAGTGGTAACAGTTAACTAAAAAAAATTGTGAAATTTTCTCCTGACATGAAAACATTTTCAACTTTAGGGTTCACAAAGAATTGACTGATTTCGAGACTGACCACGAACTAACTTCACTCAGCTTTTCGCTACTTCTTGGCTTCCAGTGGTGTTCTGACTGAAGTCGGTTGGTGATAAATCTTAAAATGAAAATCCCTGTTGACAGAACAGAGACATGTTTATACTTTTATGTCTGAAATCTTACTACTTATTTGCTGAGTAAAATAACCGAAAGACTGGAAAATTAAAATCAACTCATTTCTCTCGAAACACGGTTAACTACGTCTATCTAACTGTCTTTTTTAAATAAGGGGAGCATTTTATTTTTATTACACTGTACAATTTACGTCGTGAATGAAATTTTAAATATTCGTATTTAATTTTAAATAAAAGATTAGACTGAATGAATCATAGTATGATTTCCTCACTTACTGATTTGTGATTCACTATATATACTATCTTCTTTGGGTAACAATGGCATTTGCATTTCCATTGGACGTGTTTGTAATGGCATCATTACATCTGGTTCAGATGGTGCTCTCGGTATTAACTGTGAATCGTTAAAACTAATAAAATAAAAGAATAAATTAAACAAATCGTTTACATGGAGCTGCCGAAAAATTTATTATTCTTGGACCAACCAAGAAAAAAACATCAATCAGGATGGTATGATCATCTTGCGGATGATATAATGTTGTTCTGATCCTCTCGATATGCAAATGTTTCAAACGGGAAGTGAATTTTCCGCTTTCAAAACAAGGGCCCAAATCTGTCAGTATCGTCTTTGGTACAGCGTTCACTGAAAAGATGTGTCGAACTACTGCGTCAGTCACGGTTCTCGCATATTGACCAGAGATCACAACGGCGTCTGCCCATCGTGCAGCGTGTTCCGTCATCACCATGACGTACTGATTGTTACTGGATATCTGCGGAATCAGACTCATCATATCTACGGACCACAAGTCACCTGCTGCCCTTGACTGGAATTGGCTGCATCAACTAGCACTGCAGACATCGGAGTACATATTTTACCACATCTCTCCTACCTGGTCAGGAGATGTTTTGTCTTAAGAAGTCAGTTGTTCAGACTACTCTTGTATGTGCCAGCTGGTAATATTCTTATATCATCTTATGACTGAAGTATTACCATTGTTCTCTTGCCAAGTCAGAGTTCCATAGGCGTTCATTCTTAATCGATCCCTCTGTCTGAGTAACTTATTCAGATCCCTACTCGCCATAAGTTGATTCATTTCCATTTCGTATTCAGGGTAGGGTCTGATTTATGACTGCGGGCAAATATTAATGGGTCTTGTTCCAATGCATGCACTCCGTAATCAATGTCCAGTAACTCAGCTTCATCCTCCGGTCTAAACAAAACGTCTGCCAAAAAGGTTCCTTGGCAATGACTTGTGCTATCGTGAAGTCATGCTCCTGCAGGCGCAAAATCCACCGTTACAATTTTACACGTGGGTCTCTCTCTGTCCTCAGAAACTGTAGCGGCTTGTGATCAGTTTCCATGTTGAACCGTTGACTGAGTTAATATGGTCTCCATTTTTCTACCGCCAAAACTATTGCTAAACATTCTTTTTCTGTCGTTGAATACTTCTGTTCTGTGTGTGTTTTACAACACAACTGGCATTTTTGACAACTCCTTCACTTTGTCTAAGTACTGAGCCTATGCCGTAGTCACTCGCATATGTGCACATTATAAGCTGTTTTCCGGGTGCAGGCACATTTATCGTCATTTTATGGTGGTCTAAAAGCCGTTTAATGTTGTCAAATATTTTCTGAGAATCGCCCAGCCAAACTAACTTCAGCTCATCCAATAGTCTATATGGTAGGTCTGTTATCTCGTTCAACTTTTCACATATCGACTATAAAACGCTGTTGTCCCCAGGAAGTGCCTAAGCTTTTTCTTGGCATTCAGGGCCGTAATGTTCTTTGTCGACAAGATTTTCTCCGTTAGCGGTTTTATCTCGCCGTTTCCTAATTATATACCAATAGCGCCAACACACCGTTAGGCTATCTGAGATTTGGTTTTCTGATATGCAGTTCAAACTCTTCAATGCATTTTGATAAGGCTTCGACATATTTCAAACAGTCATTTTCGTTTTGACTGTCGATAATGAAATCATCACCGTTCGCCTTCACGTTCTTCAAGTTTCTAAGTAACAAGGTCATCAGTTATTTGAATGTAAACGGGGCACCTTTTAGTCCAAATGGCATACGTTTAAACTGATACTACTTCTGTCTCACGATTAACGCCGTCTTATCTCTGTCACTCTGTTTTATCGGTATCTGCGAATATCCTGACCGGAGGGCGAATACCGTAAACAACTTAGAGCTCTGTATACGTTCCAAAATCGACAGCTTTCTTCACTAAGTGAACTGAAGAGTTGTATGGGCTGTCAGCTTCTTCAGTAATATCATCCTTGTCGCTGGACCTCGCCTTCTAGATGACATAGGATTCTTCCTGTTGTGAATAATGCCATTTTTCGACTGTTCAGTGGGACTTCATGCCTCTCCTTATCACAATAACATAGGCGTCCCCATCTTCAGTGAACAGATGATCGTATTCATTAACTAACACTGTCATATTCTGTGCTTTTGACACCTTAACCCGTGTTATCTCACTTGCCTCATACCTGCTCATAGGTCCGTACTTCGTAATCACTTCATTCTTCTTCGTGTTAACTGCCACACCAACCTCTCACAGAAAATCAGCGCCAAGTGTTGTTCTCCATGACTCAGTTAAAACAATGAACTGGAAGGTTAGTTCGCGATTGCCGAAAAGAACGCTACAGTTTGAACTGCACGTGATGTTTAACACATATCCATCTAACGTTTGTGCTGTAAATGAACACGGTCTGATTCTCTGTCAGTTTCTTTAGGTTTTTGTTTAGCAGCCGTACTTCTTACTGAATACACTTGTCTAGTTGAATCGTTAGCTCCCTGGTTGGCTGCAGCTTAGCCAGAATGACCAGACCTCCTAATATAATGCATGCAGTTATCTAATGAAAGAATTGCATAAAGATTTATCATCAAATTGCTTTCAAGTGAAACATTTTTAGACAGTTTCTTCATTCAAAATAATTGGTGAACAAATGAATGTTAATACACTAGACACACCTGGATGGCCTTAATCTGAAAATGAGTAGACAAAACTTCTACAAGCGACCATTTGAATTATGCAATTAAAAATAATAAAATGACAACTGGAAAATTCTCCAGACGTTCTAATGATGAAAAACTGAAGTGTAATTCTTATGAATGAGTAAATTAAAAAAAAAGTGGTAGGAGTTTCTTAGATCGACAGACTACTATTCATGTTGCTGACGGTAACCGAAGGTGAGATGAAAACCTAAATGGCAAATGGATTCGACCACTGAGCATCTGGTGTAATAGTAAACCGACGGTAATGTACCATTCATTCATAAGAGAGCTCGCCAATACTCACGATGACTGCAGTGAAATAACTACCTGGTTGGCAGCTGCACAGCGTAGCCCTACCATTGGAACACCGGGTTAACAATATGGATGCCTTTATTTTGAATCTCACTACGACTTAGATTGAATCTCACTGACATCCACGCGTAAAAATTTGAATTTGAAGGAAATTAGCAATCCTTCAGTCTGATATTTTTGTTTATGAAATCTCAAAGACAACTACAAAAGCATCTGGAAGTACTGAATGCAATACGACCAAGAAGAAGACTAAATTCTTCCTACAGAGTCTGATTTTAAGAAGAGTAATCCCTTAATATGGTCTAAATATCATTCTGAAGAGAACTGATCTAGTTGTTTAACAAGTTACCTTATACAGCATGAATGGTTTTACCAATGTCGGGTTTCCATATCACCTTCGTTGAAGAAAATCATTCAGTTTGCATTTATGTATCAAAGTGATTATAGAAAAAGAAAACGGAAAATAGTTTGTTTCTATAATCCAAGGTCTGCTTCAAAATAACTAAGAATAGGACTGAAAATGTCTTTAAAAGAAAAGGAAAGCTTGTCAATGTCTGGATAATTAAACTGTTTTGAGTTTCGTAAATTATTTTAATTATTTAGCAGGCTATATATGATATACCGAGATTTAGTGTAAATAGTGATTACCCATATGATCTGATTAGCTTAGTCACTGAAGTTACTTTTAACACTCGATTGGTAGTACTTCTAATTTTCTTGATTCCATTATTTATATCACTTTATGGTGAAGCTTATTTTGACTCTAGTCTCTTCCCCAATAGACTATGCACGTTTACAGCAGTGGAAATAAAAAAAATAATGAATTTATAATCTACTGTGTTCATATGTTTCGAGCGTATGACTGATTTCAAGATTCATTTCTGTCACAAATTAAGTAGTCTAAATCAAAAGGTCTATGTTATGCAGAAAACAATACTGTTTTGAAATGACCAGGCCCTTGAGTCAGCTGTAACGAATTATAGTGAAATCACACCATTCAATTATAAATATTAAGCATTCTGATAATTTTGAGAAAAGCACTTCAATTTTAAACAATGCTATATGTCTTTCAGGCAAGCGAAATGCAGTGGACGTTTGTGTTATAAAAGCAGAAATAGATGGAAGCGCTTACTCGTTTTCATTTGAATCATGATCTAAAGCTCCTTCCCTCAAAAGAGTATTCACAACTTTTTGGGCCGGACAATTTAAGACCTAAATAGTATAAAGTGAAAAAGGGAATTTCTCATGGTTAAAAATTACTTCAAGACTAAAATACAGGAAAAAATATTGTTATTAATTCTGATTCTCTTGGAGGATATTTCTTTTTAGAGGTGAATTGGTAATCAGCGACTGTTCCGTATTGCTAAATTCTGTTAATAGTAGTTTATTGGTTTATCAGATAACTACAGTTAAAAACCAAAACTTTGTTTTCACTTTTGCTATCACAGGTTGTCAAGATTATCGCTAGACATTTTGCTTTATCTGTTTACTACCACAACTTAAACGAATGATGCACTTTTTAATGGCTAGGCTTCATACTGAGTGTGGAAATAGCATAAACAATTCAATAGTAAGACACCTGACAAGGACACTACTACCATTCTAGATACAGAATTAACAGACAATGTGTAGGTTTGTGTGAAAGCAATGTTGTAATCAGTATTCATCTAAAACATGTAGTGTAACTAACAGTTGTGTGATGCGTAATCAACACAGACTGTAGTGTGAATAATACTGTGAATTTACTTCTAACACTGTAGAAGATCTGAATGAAGAATATTCATTTCATTAATTTATCTTCGGGCTCTTACAATTATAAAATATTATGTTTGTTGTCGTAACAATAATGGCCAGTTGTGTAGCGGATACATTTTTCAACGTAGAATAACATATTAGTTATGGGGTGTCAAAATATATAGTCGTATTTGTGTGACAAACATACTAGGCTGAAATCGATTACAAAATATTGTGAAATTGGGAGACAATGGTGGTGGTTAGTCATAATAGATTCGTAGAATGTGGGGTAGGAAAAATTGACAAGTCAATTCAAGGTAATAAAAGGTGTCAGGTGAGTGGCTAGTACAAAGTAGTATGCATTAAAGAGGAGATAGTAAGACTTCAAAGTTTCGCTTAAGCTATGTGTAGGAGAAGTAAGCTACTTCGGAATTCGGTATATAACCCTGAAATCTGTGTTGGTGTCTATGCGATGTCCAGTAGAGACCAAGTGTGACATGATCGAGCACTTCCTGAGGCTGTTCCTAACGTGGCCAAACTTGGATTAATTATTCTCCTTCTCAATAAAAGTGCCTCTTTCCCTTAACCCCTTTTGGTTTTTTTTCTTTGCTTATTATTAGAATTATCACTACTCGTCATAATTTATACCCTTCGCTCAAACATTCTCTCAATACTATCGAATTTTCCATTTATTCTATCCGGATTTATTATTAGTAATATTATCCCTTTCTTAATATGTACCTCCACCTGTTTCTTTTCACACATTGGTTATTTCATGATGAACCTGTCATTGCAGTCTTAGTGTCTTCTCTTTATTGCATACTACTTTGTACTAGCCACTCACCTGACACCTTTTATTACTTTGAACTGACTTGTCAATTTTTCCTACCCCACATTCTACGAATCTATTATGACTAACCACCACCACTGTCTCCCAATTTCACAATATTTTGTAATCATCTTCAGCCTAATACGTTTGTCACACAAATACGACTATTTATTTTGACACCCCATAACTAATATGTTATTCTACGTTGAAAAATGTATCCGCTACACAACTGGCCATTATTGTAACGACAACAAACATAATATTTTAAAATTGTAAGAACCTGAAGAGAAATTATTGAAAGAATATTCTTCGTTCAGATTGACCTTTAATTCATGATATGGGAATATTCCACACTATTAGAACTGTAGATGTTTATTTACTAAAGAAGTGTTAAGAACTCCATTGATTTCAGAATGGAACTCACTCATTTCACCAAACTTTCTATTAAGCCAAAAAGTTATTCCAGGTTTCACTTGATAAATCTATCTTTCACTTTTTCTTCTAAACTTTAGAAAATTAACTGACATTCATATCAGTTGCGTCATGCATTGTTTAAACAAGCAGTGTGTCAATTTCAAAGATTCGTGACAAACAGTTTGAATTCTGAAAAACAAAGATGTGCGGGAAGGAATTTTCCTCCATAGTATCATTCCTTTCTACCGTATGAGAAAATTACATATGGTGAGTAATTCCTTCAACTGAACGTTTGAAAAAAAGAAAATCACAAAACTAGTAACAGTCAGAAAATTTCATGGCAAATTCGATTTTCCCTTCGAAATTTCTTCGCCACCGTGTACTGTACATGTAGTTCAGTGCTTTATATCCCTACAGAACACATTATCACTTTGCCATTCATATGAAATCCAGTGACTGTCACTTACCAAATTAGGTTTATTATTTATTTATTTTTGATTACAGCTTGATTCCACACTGTATTTTTTGGTACAAGTATGGAATTTTCAGCATGTGATATCGGTAGCCCCAATTTTTCAAGCCGACCATAGATATCAAGTGTGCGTCGGCAGGGGATCGAACCCCGGACTGTGTGCATGATCGGCGAGAGTCCTAACCATTGTGCCACCGACGCAGTCTGAGTGTCAGCCTTCTTCGTTTGCAAGGACATATTTTCAATCCATACTCGGCCAACTGTGTAATAAAAGTTTGTTGCAAGCATGAAATAGTAGAGCACTAGTTTGTAATCTTGACACTCAGTCATTCTGTGGGAAGACAAGGAAGTGTTTTGTAAACCTTAAAAATTTCAACCATTGGATAAGAACTAAATGGCTTAATAATAATACGAATCCTAAAACAGAGAGAGGGCTTAATCACAAGAAGTCTCTTACTGGAATGCAACGAACTTTGTCTAGTAATTTTTAAAACAGAGTCCAACTACAGATACTATCAGCCTGTTGTTAGATAAGTGTTTAAAATTAACTCAGTTCGCTACAAGTAGAATAATAACGTGTGAATTACTAAAGGTCAACATAAAAAATAGATATAAAGACTTTCAAATGGGGAATAGCAAATTACTTGAAATAGATGTATTTCGTTGCGTTTAGGATGTCCGTCACCCATTGAACCAGCTTTAATGGTGAATGTAAGTAGGTTGTTAACAGGACACACTGATGGTGGAGTAGATCGATATCGCGGGTAAATTAAACTACTAACCCGGAAACGTTCAACTTCACGCTACAAAGAAAAGAGTGAAAATGTTATATTTTCGGAAATAACAAACAACAGAACGGTCATTACTACTATCAATATATATATATATATATATATATATATATATATATATGTATATATTGTATATCACTCAGTTGAAGTATCTGCTAAACAGATTGGAGATCAGTGATTAACTATTATCACCTTTTGTCAGGCAAGACGACCTAACAATGAAGGAGTTTTGGAAAGAAGTTGAAAAGTAAATCGTCTATGCATAGGATGACTACTGCTTAAAATGGATTCAAAGATAAGTAAGACAGTGTAAGCTTTTACGGAATATAAATATAAGGTGAATATAACTCCACATCATAAATAAATATTGCATAAAATTTGACCTAAAAGAGTTTACTTTGTTTTAAAAATAAATTCGGGAGACTACTGTGAAGAAGTTTTCATTCACATTTGTCTAATAACAAAACAAGCCAATAACATTGTAGATGTGCAGCATGAGCTTCACTACCTAACTTTAGCGATGGTATGTATTCAAGCTCCGATTTCTTCTCAGTTTACTTCATTCTGAGCCCTTAAACAGCATCATAGAGCCTAGAATGGATAGTGTGGCCCATAGTCTGGAATGTGAAAAGTGCGCTGCAAGCAAGTGAGTTACTGACTTAGTAACATTTTTATAATGTGGAATATTCGTACAGTGCACGAGATAGTAAAACTGCCATAGAAATGAGAAGATACGACATAAAAGTTCTAGAAATTTGCAAGAGCGGATGGAATTGATGTGGACTAGCCAAATTGTCAGCTGGAGAGTCAGAAATCTAGTCTGGTAACCCTGACGTCAACCACGAGCACGCTGAGGCATTGAGTGGCTATCCTGATGTCGCAAGTGGAAGCTAAAGCTCTAAAGAAGAGGGAACAAATTTAATCTAGGATAATGACACCAAGATTCAACCCAAATGGAAGGGAGGTTACAACTGTTCAGTGCTAAAAACAAGGCGGAATAAGAGAAGAAGAAGGATTTCTATAGACAAGTGCAAACAGTAATGGACAACATCCCGAATGCAGACGTCAAAATCATTATGGGCGATATGAATACAAGCTAAAATGGGAGCAGATAATACAGGAAGAGAACTAATCATGGGTCGAGAGGCTGTGACTCGGAGAGATGAATCACGACGGAGAACTCTTCGCAGACTTCTGCGGTTTCAGTGATTTGGTAACCGGAGAAGGCGTGTACAAACACTGAGAAGTACACAAGGAGACGTGAGTTTCGCCTCACGAAACCACAAAAACTAGACAGACATCATCTCAATGCTGTTGAAGGAAGTGGAGACGCAGCTAACCTGTTGGACTTAAAATCGAGAAGGGGAGCAGATATGAGCGGGCTCAGACCATCATCTACTTCAAGGTGAAGCTGAAATCCTTTAGAACAACTGGAGACAGGCCACAATTCAAATGCAACATTCACAAAATGAAGGACAAAACTAAAAGGGATACTTTCGCTACAGATCAGATCACAGATGACACTACGTGACATCACTGAGGAAACCTGTATGAAGGAGCATTGTACCTAACTCTCTAAAGGTGATGTTCAAGGAAACGTGTTTGGCCGTTTTAGGAAGAAAGAAGAGTCAAAACAAGGAATGGATTTCAACAGGTATGCGGAAGCTAATCGACGTGGGGAGGAGAGGATGGTGAAAAGGAAGATGACTTAATGCAGAGATGGGCAGTAGAAGGAGAAGCTGAGTTTCAATGTTCACTGTACTGAATAAAGAAATGATGAAGAGTGCTGGGAAAAACAAGAAACAAGTCTACGGTACACTGACCGGCAACTGAAGCAGGACAAGTAGAACGCAGGCAGGCAAAGGGACCTCAGAACATTATACCAGACAAACAAGTCTCTATACAGGAAGAGATCAACCCAGATGATGAAACCAATAGAAGATTCTCAAGGGAACCTGATTACCAAGGAGGAGAAACAAATGAACCAGTGAGTTGATCACTTCAAATGACTCTTGAATCGACCATCACCTGAAAATCACCGACAAAGACCACAAGCACTAACGGCATGGACAGAACTGCCTGCTACTGTACATTAATCCTCCGACGAAAGTAGAAGTCCTGGATATAATCAAGCCACTGAAGTCTAGGAAGGCGGCAGCACAAGATGAAAATTCCCATAAGGCGCTGAAAACATCAAATTGCAACTCTACGCATCGTTATCGAACAAAGCATGGAATGACAGTCAAATCTCCCTCAACCTGAATTTCATTGGCTTCGGGAAGGCCTTCAACAGCGTCGACCAAGAAGCAGTCTAGAGACTGCTTTCATTCAACAGCTCGCTATATGACAATGCCACGTGTCAAGCGACCCACAACAGAAAATTCAGAGTAATTTTTGAAATGAATCCAGGAGTAAGCCTGCCTATTATCATCGAAAGTATTTTTAAATGTATTGGACTAGATTATGTGGCTCGCAGTATGCGCGCAGCGATAAGACAGGAATACGTCGGACTGACGGGAAGACTGTAAAAGATTTGGACTTCGTAGAGAATTTATGTCCGATGTCATACAAACTCGAAGAGTGACAGATGGAGATCAACAAACTGTCTTAAGAAGCAGCGAAGACGGGAATTCAAGTGACGGATATAGAGAAGATGGAGGTGATGAAGATAACCAATCACCACCAACGACAACAAACATCAATCACTTTCAACGGAAGGAATTTCAAAGAGGTTACTTTCTTCACTTATCTAGGCAGCATACTTTCAACTACAGGTGGAGGCGCGGATGAGGATATCAAGACCAGGATAGGAAAGGCAAATCAGTTTAGAAATCTTTTGAGCCCAGTAGAAACAGCTAAATTCGGATTTTCATCACCAGTGTTTAGCAGTTCTTTTATTTGGTTCAGAAACTTGGTGGATTGCCTAAAGCATTTTCAACAGGCTATTTCACACTTTTATTAATAACTGCCTTCTCTGAATACTAAAGATCAGATGACCAAAATGAATTAGCAACGAGAGACTCTGGGAATAGACCAACCAAGCACCAAATGATCAACAGATAGGCAGAATTTTCGGGTTGTGAGGGCGGTTGTTACTTCCCGGCTGCCCACACCGTGGAAGTTGGTTGCGTGACTGCAGAGCCCAGGGGACAACTGCTTGAGGCCGGTCACACACGGCCTTTTTTTGTTTGTTCTTTATTGTTTGGTGTGGCTCAGTGGCATATTTATCACTTCTGCCCTGTGACACAACAGCAGGAAGCGCGGTCGTTGTTAATCCGGGCCACGACCGATCCGGCATGATATTTTTTGAGTTTATTTGTATCATAGTATTGGATTGTGTAGCTGTTTTTTGTCTAACCGCTATCCAAATAACCTTTCTGGCATCGTAGGACCTCAAAAGACATAAGTTTCGTCCAGCATAGCTTGTTGGGACATTGCGGTGTTCAAGCCCGACCACCACGTCAAGGTAGCAGCTTTCGGTCGGGAATAGGCAGAAGAAAATGGAGACGGGCCGGATATACTCTGGGGAGACCGTTGAATGGCGTCTGTTGCTAGGCCTTCAAGTTGAACCCGAATGGGAAACGATGAGTTGAGTTTTGGAGGGTGGCATGGAGGAGATCGCTTGAAGAGGAGATGGCAGACTATGAACAATCTTGGGGCCATCTAAATAGGACAAAGGGATGTGTTGTTGCGACCCTGTGTTCCACTCGGAACCCAAGAGACCAGTAAAAATATAATAATACAAGAGAATGATACGCAGTAAGTTATAACTTGTATTGCAGTTGGTAGTTCCTTGTCATCCTATTAAAATTATTATATTTCTTTAATCAGGTTAACACTGACACTATCCACAACAAGTTTGGCAAGTAAACTGTTCTCAGTGTTATTCAATAGTTTTAAAACACTGAGAATATAGATAGCGGAAAACAAATCCACATAAGGTAGTTTTCCTAGTTTTTTGAAGTATCTAATTGTTTGTTACAGTCAATATTACTTTTATTTAAATTCCTCGAAACCATTACAAAAATGATTTCATTAAATTTTAGATTTTCCGGTCGATTGATTGGACCGAAGTGTTCGGTCTCAGGTTGACATGTCGGTTTCTTGTGCAGATAATTCGACGGTGCCTGGGCATGTAATGTGAAGTTAATTTGTGGATGGTGAATAGCAGTGGAATCCAGGATGCGCATTTCATCCTGTTTGGAACTCATCATATGGATGTATGTGCATTCCGCAGTGATTGGTGATGTTCCCACCGAGGCTCGAACCCAGTGCCGATAGTTTCAAACGCCAAAGCGTGGTCTAGTGGATAATGCTCTGACGTTTGAAACTATGGGCACTGGGTTTGAGCCTCGGTGGGAACATCATCACACTGCGGAATGTAGGTACATCCAGATGACGAGATCCGAATAGGACGAAATGCGCATCCCGGATTCCACTGCTTGTCACCATCCACCAATTAACTTCTCATTACAAAATGTTTTGGGACAAACGATAGACGGAATGAATCTGCATTCTCAACCTAAATCAGTACAATCCTGGTAGAAGGAATAAATATTAGCTTATATATGTTTTCATCTCAACACTTACATTGAATATCATTACGAAACTCACATGCACTGTGTGTAAATCTAAGGTGACGTCACTAACCTAACCATTCGGTGGTAAGAGTGGAAACATAGGACTAAACATGGATTTCAAATATGCTTTGCTGATAAGTGCCAGCAAGCGATAATCATAGATTCAGTGCGGCTTGTCGCTGAACTTGCCTGAACACCTAACAGATAGATATCCTTTAACAAAGTTTGTGGTATTAACATTATACAATGATGTGTGTACTTTTCAAAATCATTTCAGCACCTTCTGACTTTATCAAACAAAGCCTTATCAAACTAATCATAATACTCAAAAGATTCAAGGAAGCATCTTAACATAATATCTGAGTGATCAGTTAGATAATACAACAAAGTTAAATAAATTAATCTTTGCAGAAGTTCACAGGAAATGAAATATCATCTGAAATACATAAACGTAGTTGGGATTCTCTGATAAGTCAAATTTGAAACGAATCTTTCATACTATAGCTATGCTTTTAGCCTTTATATTAAACGAAAACTAAAGTGTCATTTGAAAGACATTGTATGCGTGTTCAGAACATTTTATCATCAGCTATATGGATAACTAATCTAGACATTATTTAGAAATAATATCAGTGTATAATGTATATATATATATATATATATTCAAATAAATTGAGCGAAACGTTTTGCTTTGCAAATTAGTTTACACTCATATAATCACGCCATATTTTATATGGGAGGGTACTATTTAACAACGAATTCAACAATAAGATCAATAATAATGAGATAAAACAACTGTCATAATGAAATTTTTTAAATTGTTCTCCATGTAGGCGTCATATGAATGATTAAAACAAATACTTTAGTCATTTTGACACTAAAGTCTTTAAATGTAAGTAGAAAATTTTGCATATTTTTTCATCATAAAGAATTCACGAAACAAGGCATATATTAAACTGATATTCAAATAAAACGAAATTGCTGGAATATATTTATTTTCTGCTGAAAAAGTGCTAATAATTTTCACATTTTATTTAAAAAAATTTTAAATTTTCATAAAAGTTAACTTACATTTCCATTACGTGGATCAGTTAAGAGAAGGTATGGTTCATTGTTGTAATTGACAAGTGACATATTAAAACTGCGCACATGTGTATAGCATTCTTGCAACAAAAGGTCAACAGCTGTTTGTGTATTAGGTAGAAGATTTTTTGGCGCAACTTCAAATGTCCTGAGATGTTGTACTTTATACTCAGCAAGAGTTATTGGTGTAGGTCCGTTTCCATTCATTATACTGACTTCTGTGTGTGTAGGTGATACAAGAAAAAGGTTATATTTAGTTGTGAATACTGTTATAAAAATGACTTCTCAGAATATGTGTTTACTAATCTTACGATAGATACGGCACAATAGAATGACCTGTAAGGCCTACACTTTTTTCCGGCAAAATAGGACTGTATTTGCAGAAACACTTTAAGCTGTGAAGAAAATACTAGCGTATACTAGTGTACAAAGCAATGTTATTTTTTGCCATGTAAGCAGCTGAAGAGAAGGCAACGAAATAAAAGATGGTACCATTTTATTCTGCTAAAACTGTAGTTCTTGCTTTGTTCAAATTCATTAAGGGGAATAAATGTATGAAAAACATCTCAGTTTGAATCAGTTTAGATTTTGTTTGTTCACAAACCGATTCTAACTTTTCTTGGGGTTACACACTAAATAATTTTACTGTGTCAAAATAAATGGTTGTACCGAGTATTTAAATGATTACTTTTCTTGTAAAATATATTTCCCAGATAATAATATATCTTACGTGTAATTAGTGTGCTTAATAATTTCTTCCTGTATCCTTCATTGAAACAATGTTTCTTCCCGATGTGAGTCAGTAAATATTTCATAAGCTTTATATTACAGTAAGTTAATGTAAGCCGAATTACTTCACAAGCAGAGATCATATAAAAGGTACCTCTGATCTAGGATACTAGTAAACCCACTAATTCTTGAAGAGTAATTATCCAGAACCTTAGTTTAAGAGGAAAAAGGATTTCAGTGACTGGTTTTCATTCAAAATAATTTATCAATTTTAACTTTATTTCATAACATTTTAGTCGTTTAGCTACAACCATAAGTAGTAAATTGTAAACATGCGAGTATTCAACAGTTTTTATCCCACTCTTGTATATTTTTTGCGGGATATCAGGGGGAAATGACTTGACAGGATGAAGTGTGTCCCAGACCATGCAATATGATATTAAATGATATAATACAGACTATTATTTTACCAGAACATAAAACAGGCTAAGAATACAGTGTTGTATGAAGAAGTATTATGCAGAATAAACCTATTACAACCATTAATTCACCTACTGGTTTGAGTTCATCGACTAATGATTTTCAAAACCCAATAGTCCGGAGTCATTAGGAAATTAATTGATTGGAATTCTGCTGTGTTATGTTGTCAATCCAACAGCTACACGACAACGGAACATGTCAAGTGATCCACAACGGAAAACTCAGCGAGGCGTTTGAAGTAAACACAGAAGTCAGTCAGGGGTGCTTATTATCACCACTGATATTCCTAATTGTGGTGGACTGACTGCATTATGCGTCAGACAGTGGGAAACGAGAAGACAGGAATATCCTGGACCGACGTGAAGAACCTAGAGGAACTGGATTTCGCGCGTGGATGATTTATGTTTGATGTCACTGTCACAAAATCGAAGACTTACAAGCTAGCGAAAACCGACAAACTGGTCGAAGAAGAAGCCGGTGAAGACAAGACTTCAAGTGAAAATAGACGAGACGGAGGTTATGAAAATAACCAACAACAACAACAAAAACAGCAGCAACAGCAACATCCAGCGTCAATCACCATCAACTGGAGGGATTTGAAAGAGGTTACTTCATTCACCTATCTAGGGAGCATTGTCTCAACTACAGGAGGAACGGACAACGATGTTAAGTCGAGAATCGGGAAGGCGAGAAACACACTCATCAACCTGAGACGAATCTGGAAATCTTCGTCACTCAGCATCAGCAACAATATTCGGTCGGATTTTCAATACAAACGTCAAGTCATTCAGCTCTTCTATACGGAACGGATCAGAAACTTGGCGGGCGGGTCACAAAGAATATTTCCAACAGCCTGTTGCAGACGCTGCTTTCATCAACAACTGTCTTCGCTCTATAGTGAAGATCAGATGAAACTATGGGAACAAACAAAAGAAGAACAAACCAATCGCCCAACAAATATGCAGGAGAAAGTGGAGATGGACTGGACACTCTCTGAGGAGGCTGTTGATGACATCGCGCGCGCGTCAGACCATAGCTCGAGTGGACCCCGAAAGGGAAGTGGCGAGTGGGTTATCGGTGCAAGGGAGACATGGAGGAGATCGTGTGAAGAGGAGTTGAAACAGTATGGACTAACATGGATGCAGGTGGAAAGAACAGCAGAGGACAGAAGCAAGTGGAGATGTGCAGTTGAAGCCCTATGTTCTACTAGGAACCCAAGGGAACATTAATACAATAATAATTATCTTGTCAATTGAATGATGTGATAGTTTATACGGTGAGATTTAAAAATGAATGCTGAAGAATGACTATGAATAGTAATACACTATATTGTGAATATGAATCAGCTGGAAATCACATGACGTTGTATTCCAGCTCAAATAATAATTGTAATGTTTTCACACTTACTTCTCAATGAGTCACTTTAAATCACAAACTCTTATGAATAAATGTTTCTTCTGTTATTTTTATTTCCACAGATATAAACCATTTACTTAAGGGCTATTCAGAAATCAAAATAAAATCATCGAATTTCCTTCCCTTATGAGTCTTCTCAAAATATTTATTAGTATGAAATATTTCTATATCATGAATTAAAAGTCAGTCTGAACGAAGAATATCCTTTTCAATAATTTCTCTTCAGGTTCTTACAATTAGGAATTAGAATGTCATAATAAACAGGGGGACGGATAAAACAAACAAAGTAGCATCATAATAACTAAGAAGATGGACATTGTACGATTAGGGGTAAGAAATGTAGAAATAACAAAATAGACAGGATGTTTGCATAAAAACGAATGTGATGAATAATTGTTTATGCAGTCAGGGATTAAATATGCAGAAATAGTAAAATGACAAAACAAAACACGAAGTTCGGGTATGAAAATATGGTAGTGTAAACAGGGATTAAGAAAAAATTAAAACAATGCCCACCCAAACATCGACTTTACACTTGAGACTGAATTCGAGGGAATGTTCCATTTCCGCGATGTCCATCTGACAAGAAACGCCGACAACTCTGAAAAGGTCCATATACAAAAAGCCTACATGGAATGGATAATTCATCAACTTTCAAAGCTCCGCGCCCCTGAGCAGAAAGAGGAACGTGATATACGCTCTTTCCTCGAGGATTCGGAAGATATGCAGAGAAAAAGGGGTTAAAGAAGAACTGCGTAATCTCCGAAAAACCCTGATGGAAAACGGTTTTCCGCTCAGGTTCAAAGAAAAGAATCTCAAATCTAAGAAGACTTCCGAACAAGTCCAATCCATTCCAAAGAAAATACTTCTGCTTAATCTAGAATTCAAAGGTGATACTGAAGCAGAAATCCTTCACAAACGCCTCTCAAAATCGATGGGGAAAACATACTTCGCCACGAGCCCTACGACTGACGTTTTATTGCAAGAAACTGTTCAGCCAGAATGCGAAAGACAAGCTGTCGCATTGGGCCACCTCATCGTGCATATACCAGTTTACTTGCTGTTGTGAAGCTGAGTACGTTGGCTGTAGCATGCGCCGACTTGAAAAACGCGCTCACAAACACTACCCAGCCTGGTTAGTAAAAGGAGACCAAAAGCGTGTATACAAGTTCTTACAATTGTAAAATATAATATTTATTGTCGGTACAATAGTAGTCAGTTGAGTGGCGGATACATTTTTTCACGTAGAATAACATATTACTTTATGGGGTGTCAAAACAAATAGTCGTATTTTCGTGACAAATACGTTCAAAAATGTATCCGCCGCATAACTGGCCATTATTGGAACGACAATAAATATTATATTTTATAATTGTAAGAACAAGAAAAAAAATTAATGAAAAGCGTATTCTTCGTTCAGATTGACTTTCAATTCTCAAAATTTATTCGAAAATATGAAACAAATACCATACGTATTCTGATGAAAATAAGAATGAAATGAACACTGGTTTCCCTGAAGTTTATTTTATAATCTATTGTGCAAAAGTAAAGCTTTTATTGAATCTTAGAGAGGGAAAGAGAGAGCACAAATTGCATTGGTTTTCTTCAATTGATAAAATCAGTCTTATATATGGTAGAAATAAGAAGTCACTGAGTTATCAATACAAAAGGATATTTATGCAATTACTCAATAACATCGGCAAGTATACTCTGAATAATGAAAACATATTTTGGTCGGGAAGAATGCATTAAACATTTTTATTGTATATAACTTATTCCCCTTTTTTAATACAGACTTATAAAAGCTTCATAGATTTTATTAAAAGAAAAGGTTTCATCTTTTTTTCATTATAAAACTTGATTGCGTAAAAGGCTTGATTTTGGCAAGCATATAAACATATATATATATATATATATATATATATATATAAGGACGTCATATGTATGTGAATATCTTGTTTTCTGCAAGTAGCTATGAAAAAAGGTTTAACTTCTAATAAATGAGAGGAATGCAATATCATCGCGATTTCTAATGAATAACGTTATCTATCGCTGTTTGTTTTTTTACTTATAAGTCTTAAATTACCATAAGTTATTTGAATTAAATTGCCAACAATTATAGTTATCACATTGAAATTAATGTGCACTCAATATTACAACATTACTTATTGAATAAAATTAGATGACTTTTATATGCAATTAATAAAGTGAACGATTTTCTCATCCCACTATTAAAAGGAGACCAATAAAATAATGAGACTAATTTACTTTATGCAAAATATTAAAAAAAAACATTTTCACTATTGATTCCCCCACACATTTTTTCGAAACCAGAATGTATGCTAGTTCACATAAGTAATAAATACGGAATGTAAATTGAAACGAAACCATACTTCTACAAACTTTCGAGTGTGATTTCATTGATCTGAACGTAATTTCTGTAACCTTGAAGGGAACAATGCTCTGTGTGCACTACGATGTATATCACTCACTGGTTGACATGAATACTTGAGGATCAATTATATCAACCAAGAATGCTTGTTATTCAGATTGAGGTTAGGAGGTCACCTTATCAGTCGTTTGGGATCGAGGTCATCAATTTCGTACATAGACTGGTTCCAGTCAGACAGCTGAATCTGATTTTTTACTAGATACCTAAAAGACCTCGTAATACGTACAGTAATATTCTTTATTAGCAAATTAAGTAGTTCTGAGTGAAATATCATCACCGCTTCATTTTGAAAGATAGTGGTACTGGACCACATCAAGAACTCAAGCACCATAAACTAAAGACTGGTATGAATAAGAAAAGGCCAGTAATGCTAATACGTGGATTATTTGGATTAACCAGTGTGATTAGGGTAAAGCCAGTGTCCAACTCAACTTTAAAATATTTGTTGTACAATCGCTGGATGAGTTCTGTGTATTCACATAAGCTTCATTAGAAGAGTCGATTACATTTAACTCAGACAACAGGCTAATCAAGTTGGTTGATCTGGTATTCAGCTGATAAATCTAGGGTTCATTTATTCTTATTATTGTATCCTTTAATTCCTTGAGGAACATAGGGCTTTAGCCGAGCGTCTCCATTGCGTTCGGTTTTCTGCCAACTTTTTCACCCCGCTCCAAGTCTGCCCACACGATTTCATCTCCTCTTCACATGACCTTCTCCAAGTCACCCTTGCACTGACGACCAACTCGTCGCTTCCCTTTCGGGTTCCACTCGAGCAATGGCTTGTCTAGTGATGTCACTTGATAGTTTCCTCAGAGTATGGCCAGCCAATCCATCTCCATTTCTTCTTACCTATTTAATTCACAATCGGTTCCTGCTGTGTTGGTTCGCTCATCGCCAGAGATCCCTGTTGCTGATATTTTCTGGCCAGCCGTCTGATCTTGAGTATTGAACGGAGACAACTGTTAATGAAGGTCTGAAGTTTGTTTGAGATGCCCTTTATGACGCGCCAAGTCTCTGATCCGTATAGTAGCACCGACTGACTTCACATTGGAGTTGAAAGTCCGGACCTTATTTTTGATGCTGAGTGATGCTGAACTCCACACAGACTTGAGAGTAATGAAAGCTTATCTTGCTTTTCCGATTCTAGCTTTGATATCCTCGTCAGTTCCACCCACCTGTAGTTGAAACGATGCTCCCCTGGTAGGTGAAGGAGGCTGTTTCCTTCAGGTTCCTCCCATTTATGCTGATTGTTGTCTGTTGTTGTTGCTGTTGGTGTTGGCCAGGAATCTTCATCACCTCTGTTTTCTCTACGTTGACCAGAATTTCCTCCTATCTTTGATGCTTCTTCTGCCAGCTTGTTGCTTTTCATTTGCATATCTTCCAGTTTATAGGAAATCAGACATATATCATCGGCGAAGTCCAGATCCTCCAAATTCTTTTTCGTGTGAGTCCATTTTATTCCTGTTTCCTCGTTGGTTGCCGTTGTCTGTCGAATTATCCAATCTACTGCAGTCACGAAAATCATCGGCGATAATAGACAGCCTTGTCGCACTCCCGTCCTCACTTCCAAGGCTTCCGTAAGTTTCCCGTTGTGGATTTCTTGGCATGCAGCATTGTCGTATAACTGTTGGATGAGATGTATAATTGTCGATGGGACCCCGTAGCAGCAAAGTATTTGCCAAATGACCTCTCGATCGACGCTGTCGAAGGCATTTTCAAAGCCGATTAAGTTGAGTGAGATGGAGAGGTGATTGCCATTCCAAGCTTTTTTCAATGAGGATCCGTAGAGTGGCGATTTGATCAATACATTTTTTTACTGATATTAAACTGAATACGAAAAATTACGTGAAATTTTCAGACAGCTTATTTGTATTGAACATTCTCGTCAATAAAATTGGCCGTCAAGGTATGGACATTTAGGTTCAGGAAATGGAATTCAGTCTTATCATGAAGATTTTGGAATTTCTCTGTTTACTTTGTTAAAATATATTGATGAGTCTTCCACACAATTTTCGGAACTCTTTTTCAGAATTTTTATATTACTTACTTTGATGTTATCTGTTTGTCACAGTCTAGCATTTTTGAATCCGTCATTGTGTATCGTTCTGTTTAGAAATTTGTATTCACCCATGTATGCATTTGGTAAGGAGTTTGACTCAGACTCCGAGTAATCATTATTCGTTATCGCATATTTAACAGAAACGGTTATATAGCCACTCCTTTATGAAAAAACGTAGATGACGTATAGTAAATTCTGTAAAGTTCTGTGGCCTCATCGATTACTTCTGGTATTTGGAAACATTAATGTTATTATCAAGGATCAGTAGGAACATAACTGTTCTTCACGATGTACAAACAGATACCTAGTTTACAGTTTTTAAATACGAATTATCTCTCGATCGATTGCTAATAACTGTTTGAACAGAAGAAAAAGATACACTAATCTTTTAGACTCTACAGCGTTTAATGTTTATACACAATGTGTGTATATAAATTAGTAATGTATTTATGCAAATTTTATTAATCTTTATTGCTTTTTATACTCATTATTAAACAGAAAAGACCACAACAATGGACTTTACAAATAATCATGGTGAATATATTAAAATCAATAAAGTCCAATGAATACATAAAACTGAAAATAACTTTTAACATATTTAGTAATGAGAACTGTATACATGTATATAATTTAATGAATAGTAAATTTCTTTAAGTAAATTCAAGTCATTCAACATTTAAAATTACTGATAATTGCAGTTATTTATTAAAAGCTTTATGTATGTAATTGGTATCAAGAAATATTCTTTTCGTTTATGTCGGTTAATATAAATGATATGCAATTTCTAGAAGTTTGATGCTGCTTCTACTCAGAAAAGTGTTTTACAGCTATTATAGCTGAAGAATTAGAATGAAATTCGGAAAAAAAGTAAGGATAAATCTGCCGGTTTGTCATTCTTTCAAGAGAGTTATTTACATAAAATAATTCAGTGGACTAGTAACCTAGTGGCAATGGTTTAACGCCTTCATCTACCCACACTTTTGCATCGTATTCAGTCATAATAAATTACATTAATATGAGTCTACCAATCCGAGAATTTGTAAGACAGTCTTACCAACAATGCTACGTTTATGAGTATAACGGTTTCATATGATGTACGAAACCCTGAAGATTGATAAAAGAGTTATATATATATATATATATATATATATATATGTAATCTTAGATACAAAACCAACTTTCCGTGTTACTTTAAACAGCAATGTTAGAAAGCTGGAAATCTGAGCTACTGTGCAACAACATACTTAAGTCGTCTAACATCAAAACTGCCTGATGTTGAGTAGTTTCCAAATGATGAAAAGTTTACCACTTGTTCATGACTGGTTAATTACTATCAGTTTTTAGGAACATGACCTTTATTTAGAGTGATTAGAAAGTTTACACAATCTAATTTGATTCAGTATTTTTAGAACAAGATAGACTTTAACGAACTGAAGATGAAAATTACAGAATTTCATCATGAGGTGACATCAATTAGATAACCATTGGAAAACCTAGGAGTACTGGACAGCTGTTTCATTCTTGTTTGGTTCTTTTACAGTACGAACCCACTGAGGATAGAACCCAGGACCTTCTGGTTGCAAAATGAGCTCGTAGACCATTAAACCACTGGTACCCAACCCACTGACCCATGAATTCCATTTGATGCCAATGCATGATATAGCGAGACCACTAGCCAATGTGATAGGTGAGTATTTGTCCTCATACACGACCTGCTGTACCCCACTAGTTATGACTGAATAGGCAGATGCTGAAATTCATGGGCCAGTGGGTTCGGTCCCAGTGGCTTAATGGTTAGCGAAGTCGCCTTGTAACCAGAAGGTCTTGGGTTCCAACCCTGATAGGTATGCACTAATGAAGAGTTCAGAAGTGGCACGTAACAGCTATCCAGTACTCTCAGATTTTCCAGTGGTTCAGTCCAAGATGAAATCTTATAACCAATCAAATCCCCGCAAACCAACCCTTGGAGGTAAAAGTTTCTGGTTACTGTTTGATATTTCAAACATTTCAGATCTTATTTAATGCTTCTTTCAGATTTCATTTTTGCACACAGGAAAATGTTAACACTGTCTTATTGAAGTTCAACTTTTTATTTCCTAGGTATATCAAAATTGAAAGCAATATATGGCGTCCTTTGGCTGTTAGGAGATATTTCTAAATAATTTAGGCTAGCTGGAAACTGAATTGGCCAGAGTACTGATATTGAATATCCTTCGATTTCGTGAAATGCACAGGTGATTCGCACACGGTATTGCATGTACCACTTTACCACAGTGGGCTGCCAGAAGACTGGAATTTAGTTCATAATGTTAATTAGAGTGTCTCTCTGGTTTTTAATGGGTAGTTGACTGACGTAGTTGAAAAATCCTAAAAAGAGTATCAGCAAGTATAAATGATGTTCATATACAGATTTTCATTTATTGCATTGGATTACTATTGTTATGGTCTACAATCTGTTTTCTGTGTGCCTTGTTTTTATGCACTTCACTTTGCGAGATTCCGTTTTGAGAACATCTGGAAATGAGATTTCCTTGAGTCTTCACTCCCTTTATGTGAACCTGATATCTTCAAGGACATGATTTATGAAAACACTTACCCTTTCCAATATGACACAAGGAATCCAAGACTTTCATAGGATTTTAGGAATTCAGATTGACTCTGTCCTCAACATTATAGCTTCAGTAAGCACCACTGGTGTTGATGAAGCTAAGTTGTCAGATCTTGCTGTACAATTTACATGACAAAATATGCCAACAGTGGTGTGGTAATTAGGATGCTAATTCTAGAAGAGTATGGCCTTAGGACTTAACTGTTTTTCCTTACAAGCTATTTTTCTGGCATTATATAAAACGCTTCAGAAGCTTGCTTAGGTTTTTATGTTGGTTGATAAATGTTCATACAGCTTTCTCTGTTCATGGTAACTTTTCTCCTTTTGTCTAAAATAATCACAACTACCTTACAAGAAGTTAGTAAATCCTTCTCTTTGTTCATATGTAGGCTCAAGTTACTGCTGAATTTTCACCACTTCTATATATGACTAATTATTGTACTTACTATTGCTTTTAGCTACGACTCACAAACTTTGCTAACAGTTTGAATGCTGCAAAAATTATGTTCTGCTGTAAGTAATTTTCCTTCCCAAAGTCTTACTAACAACCCCTTTTCGATTTCTTTTCACAGTGATGTTGAAAGTTTGTAAGGTATATTTCTCAGTTCAATAATTTCTTGTAGTTATGCAGTCGTATCTATCTCGTTTTCCCATAGACTGATTCCCATATTTGTTGTTCAACTGCATTTGCTTTGTGGAGTGTTTGAGCTTGTTATGTGCATTTGATATCATCAATCGAACCAATATTGTTTCATCTGTTCATCAACCGGTTATGCAGTAAAACAAGTGTAAGTTGATCTACTTCTAGCATCAGGATTCCAAAAATAAGTGAGCTCCTGGGATAAAAGGACTAATGTTGGATGAATGGTATGTAAATGATCTAGAGACCGTATATAAAAAGATGTAGACCTAATATGCGAAGAATCGATCCAATGGTGAAAACGTCAAGTGACTTGATAGAAACAACGTCTTAGTACTAGTGAAACAACCATGTCGACAGAAGTTAAAGATTAGCGTTGAAATTGGTGACTGAGATCTCGAACAAACCTATTTACTAGAAGCTCCCGACTCCTTTATTATTTCAAAGTGAATCTCCTGTATTTGCACTGTGTAACATGCACTAGAAGTCCTTATAAGGCACAGAGGGGAAATAATACAAAACCATTTCAGTTTGATTACAATCACTTTTGTTTATTTCTTTTTAATCAAATAGGATGGGCCTTTCATAATTAAGGATAAGCTCTGCAACCACAGAAAGCAGCTGTTTGTTTGAAATGGCGTTATTATATGAGAGGAATTCTGACTGGTAATCATATACTTAGGAATGGTAATCTATGGTATAATTTTTAGATGCACTGATTACTCTGAAGACAGCTGTCTTTTACATCTGGGATTAGATAATCTTGAAAAAGAATGAAAACATGTGTGACCAGTAAACACTGCAACTGTTTAGTAAATCCAGGAAAGTCTCACATTACTTATTAGTGCCTCATTACTCTATAAAGTTCATAAACTTTTGAAAAGTCATGGCTGCTAGGCTTTACTAGGCCAGGTGTAAAGACAGATACTTACTGGTGGCTGTAATACTGTAACAGTAGAAGACAAGAGACTTGGTAAGGAAATGTTTATTTGGTGTTTGGTATCTCTATCTGAGCGAAGTTATGTTCACCTTATCGGAAAATCTTCATCTGCACAGATCTTCCGTTTTGTACAAAATCTGCCCTTCCCATTGTGTTGCTTTGTCTTCTCTGTGTATCTCCCACGTTTCCCGCTACGCTGAATATTCTCTATCTTTGATGTCAAGTTTATCTCTGCGCTATTTTGATATTTTTATGCTTATGGACATCTCTTCATACACTACTGATAAGTCTTGTCAGTAGCACACTTCACAGTACCATAGTGAACACTGGCAGAAGTTCTAAGATGTCGGCTGCTGCCTTTCAATACGTTCATTCAGCAGCTTTATTATGCTGAACTCATTTTTACACGTGCCAGAGAATATACACTGCTGAAGAGTTCAACACTGGGACGGAACTGATTCTATGCCTTCACGAGTTCAAGATATTCATAACCATTTCGGTTACTAACGTAATCACTCTCAGATTTGCATTAGCACGAGGTTTGGAAAATATTAGAATATAGACAGTGCAAAGGACTTAAGTTAGTTAAATATATTGGTTCATTTTGAAAGTCTTGAGCATTCTATTTATATTAAGTTCAATAAAAAAATGTAACTGTTGATCATTCACTGTTTTATTTACATACCATCCACAAATCACAAATGTAAACATAACCTTGAAAATATTTTAAAAATCGATACCTTGAACATTTAACTTGAGCCAAATAAAGTTTGATTTCAGTTAGTAGACATATTACATATATGTTGTAATTTAAAATGATTTTTCTGACGAATGTTTGATTTTTATACCTTATCTTATTCGAATAGCTTAAGCAGGTTTTGGTATAGATAACAGTGAAATTAAGTATTGGTCACTAATTTAAGATTGATGCAACTGTTAATGTCGATTGTTTATTCATAGTTCATAGCAGTGATTCCATTATGGGTAAATTTTTGTTTTGATTAAGTCTCACAGTGTTATACAATAATGTTTACTGTATAACACTGTGAGACTTAATCAAAACAAAAATTTACCCATAGTGGAATTGTACTCTACCACAGTGCACAAGTTTTATTCTTATATTCATATCAGTGAGCTTTTTAGTTGGATTTACTTGAATCCAAGTGATTGTTAATTTGCACCTATTATAAAAATATCTTACATTTTCAGCCAATGTCGTGAATGAAATGCCAATATACA